AAAAAATTATCAAGCTGTTGAAAAATGACCCCGGGTATAAATTCAACGACTTTTGGTCTCAATATTTAACGTTGAAAAATGACACCGGTTCAATATTCAACGTTGAAAAATGACCCTCGGGTCAATTTTCAACTCGGGTCAATATTCAACGTTACACCGGCTTCTCCTTGAAACTCCTCCGAAACGACTTAATATTTTCAGTGAAAGTAATGGAAGAATTGTAGAGTTGCAGACAGGTGTCCAAATTTTTCTAGCGCAAAAGGCACCAAACCTCAGTAGGGCCCAAAATGTCTCAGAAACATCTCACAAAATTTGACACTTTTTGTTTCATATCTTCTTACTTCTTCATTATTTGTAAAAACATTTTGAAGAAAATATTAAAAGCTTTTAGATTATTTTAAGACAGATTTAAGAAAAGGGGACTTACTCCTCAAATTAAGGGCTCAGAGGGGCCAAAATTCTTTCATCTTTAACTCCTCAATGATCAATATTTTGTCATATATTTCAGAAACAGATATTAATCTTAACGTTTTGCAACAATAAATTATAAATTTTTGATCATATGTTACGTAATTAGGGGGTCACAGGGAGCCAGAATGCTAAATCATCAATGCTTTATATCCTGAACAGAGGGAATATTTTAATAAGCAATATTGAACATAAGATGGTAAGAATAATGTTCTAAGGTCTACCGTACTTTAAATTTTAAATAATGGTCCCATTTAGGACATGTAGGGGTGGCTCCTAAATATTTCAATTCAGCATATCTCCACAACGAAAAGAAATCTCCGAATAGGTGTTGAACAAAAAGTAATTAAAATCACAAGACCTCTCATTTGATATCAAGAAAAAGGGGCTGACTCCTCAAATTAAGGGCTCAGCGGGGCCAAAATACTTTTATCTTTAACTCTTTAATGATCAATAGTTTGTAATACATTACAGAAGCAAACATATTTATCTTAACAATTTGAAACAATATATTATAAACTTTTGATCATATGTTACGTAATTAGGGCTCACAAGGGACGAGAATATTATAACTTTGATGCATGATATCTTGAAAAGATGGAATATTTTGACAAGCAATAGAACAAAAGATGTTCAAGATATTGTAAAATAAATCAGGGAAATCAAATTTAATGAAAAACTTAATGCCCTTCTCTTTTACGAATATCTCAGTCAAAATCACATCTCATCTTATCGAGAAATCCAACGGAAGACCTGCTCGTTGCTCGCAACGACATCGTAATTAGTTATTATTCTTACCGAGTTTGTGCACGCGAGTTCTCGGAAATGGCTCACCCGATTTTAATTAAACTTTCAGATCTGATAGGTATTGGTCTGAACCTTATTGGAAATTTTTGTCGGGGATGACGTCACATTCTATCTCTATTATCAGATTGTCCTGGAAATTCCTCCGAAACGACTCAAGATATTGACTTAAGATTTTCAGTAAAAGTAAGGGAAGAATTGTAGAGTTGCAAGCAGGTGTCCAAATCTTTCTTGCGCAAAAGGGTCTGACTCCTCAAGTTAGGGGCTCAGAGGGGCCAAAACTCTTTCATCTTTTTGTAATACATTACAGAAGCAAAGATATTAATCTTAACAATTTGAAACAATATATTATAAAGTTTTGATCATATGAATTTATGACTCAAACAGTATTCCATCCAAAAAAGTATATTTTTGTAAATTGTTTTGTCAAATACCCGTCTTCAATTGTTCTTCAGTCTATAAAAGTGGAATTTATTCATTGGTCGTTCATTAAATTTTAAGATCGTTGGGTATTTGAAAGGCTAAATCATTTCTTTAAAGTTAATGTTTTGTACCATTAACTTTTTCCATAATGAACCAATTTTTTTCAATACTAGTACTCGTTACAGTATATAGTATCATGATTAAAACTACACTGCAAGTACAACTAAAATGGGACAAGCAGCCTTTCGATGAACGTTTTCAACTGTAAAATACTGTTTGGAAAAAAGGGGACAGGTCCCCCCACCCCTTCCTCGATACCATGTGCCGCTCAAGAAGAGGGATAAAAATAATGCAATAGTTTTGCAAAAGTTTGCAAGATTCTCCAGAAGCTTATCGCCCTATTACCTATGCAAAATTACTACTAGACTTAATATCTAAAATTACTTCCAAACTCTGATTTTCTTGTCACAATATTTCCTGCATCGTTCCACTGATAGTTATATTCCTTTCCAAGAACGAAGCTGAAATATACCTCATACAACCTAAAGTTTATATATCAAGAACTTGAATTCGAATGCCATGTTATATGCACGTATTTTAGGCATTTCAATTTTTCATCATGAAAAATAATGTCATAATGCACTAGTTGGATAGACCGAATGTAACAACGGCGCTGTCGGTTGATAACCCGGACCTGTGTTCGATTCTGATCCTTGTTGAAAACTTTCTGGCTGGTTATGTGATTGCTGTGCGTGAGGGTTCGACAAAGCAGCTCTCAAATGTACAGGTTGTGATGAAATTGCAGGAGCATGTTGTACATGTATGTCGCCATGATACATCCTCCATAACTCAGTTACTGTTTCCATGACAACACTTCCGCTTTCATTATCTTGAACCAGCTTTAAAAAAGAAATTATATCTTCTCCCAGGGTTGAAGAAAATCGTTCAATATTACGGTCTGACAAGGCTTGTTCTGAATTTCCCAGCTCTGATTTTATCAGATTTGATTTCACAAACCTTTAAAACAAAAAGAAAAAGAAATGTTGAAAACTTGTGCATGTACTTAATAATATACTAGTTTATTGATTCATATATTTTGTTCTTGCAGCTTAAAATGTTGCGATTTATTCCACAACATTAATTTTAAGTTTTTCTGTAGTGTCTATTAGGTTATAGTTCTATTTTGGAATTTCTATTCAACTGGCAATAAAAAATGACGAACATACTATGAATTGAATTTGTTATTTCTTTTTTTCTTACTAAATCTTAAACTGCAGAATTTCGGAGTGGAAAAATGAATTTCCCAGGTATTGTCCTTTACACTGCATTAGGGCTGGGACGATATATCGAGATATCGATATATCTGTGAGGCAATATGTATATCGATACATATGAAGAAATATCGAAATATCGCCCCCCAAAATCTGACTTCTATTTTTCTTTGTTTATTTAACATTTGGGGTTTAATATATAAAGTAAATAAGATAAATTTAAATATAGATATGAAACAAATAATAACTAACACCACTTGATTAAAATATTTTTGTTTTACAATATATTAACAACTATTTTGAATAAATTATTCTTATTTGCAAAGAAATAATTTGTTTATTTCTATGCAAAAACAGATTTTATAAGCAATTAAACATATCGTGATACATATCGTATCGTGGCTCAAATATCGTGATACGTATCGATATAGAAAAAGTTGTATCGTCCCAGCCCTACACTGCATACATGGTTGTATATACATGTAATTATATTATGATATTGATGATTTGCTAATTTTACGATTATTATACATGACCTGAAACCCAAACTTACCAGACTCTGAAAAAAGGCAGAACGGCACCAAATACGTGAAATATACCATCAGCTATAGTGGCGGAGAGACAGAAAATTAGCCACAACCAAGCCACCGCCACCATCTGCTCCAAAAACGGAGTCAGGGTCAAGGTACATTGAACACTATATTTTCTAGTATACTGGTAAACATGATAAGTGTAATTGCACATTATGTGTTGAGGAAAAAATGGAGAGGGTTTGCGAACAGTCAAACTGTTTCCCTTCAACTTTCCTATTATAAAGGAACCAAAGCCGATTTCGTTGTTCTGTTCTAGGACAGAATCCAAAAATCCCAAATTGATGGAAATACTCACAAAATACATTAATTTAATAAAACATTGCAATATCGTAAATGCCCCGAGAGATAAAATGTTAATTTTCCGGTTTTGTATCCATTGGTAGATGTAGATGGCGAGCTTCTTGCCCTCAAATTTGCTGTCTTTTTCTCCACTTCCTGTCTGAACAATAAAATGGATCCCCAACTTCTTTTTTGTCAGATTCCACAACATAAACGGAATTCGAAGAATAATAGCCTGTCCAATCAGAAATAGAGACACATATTGGTACACAGTTGTCTCCCCGGAAGGATCATCATCCTCGACAGAAACCCAATGATAGGGATTGTGGTCGCTGGTTTTCCCCGGCACGTTCCTTACTGCTCTAGCTTTATAACACCGAGCTTTTCCATAATCAGCCATGGCTTGTGTGAACTCGGCTGGAAACGCACATTCAATTGCATTAAAACACACGGGGTACAAAAAAGCCAATATGCCCAACGTTAGGAAAACCAGAGGAGTCCATTTTCCATTCAGTTTGTCCACCCAGCTCTCAAAAGACAGTGTGGATTTTTTATCCGCCATGCTGGAACTGGAATAATTGAAGAATTTTTTTAATATTCAAGATTTCCTGCGATGCTTGTTGAATAACGTTATCTATAGATTGTTATAATAGATGACAGTTTTAAATCCGTTAAAATAGCCATTTTTCTTATATGGCTTAAAAATACACAAAAATTACATTTTACTTTTTATTTTTAATCACGCTAAATTAAATCAATGACAAGAGGCCCAAAGACCACAAAGCTCACTTAAGTCAAGTTGAACCAAGATCATACATTGTTAACCCGATCATGACAACCAATTGCAAACTTAAATCCAATTGCAAACCATATGGGTTATTTAAATATAAAACTTGTTGATCCAGAGAAATTTTTTCAAGATGTATAGTAAGGCTTGCACATTTATATGATTTAGCTGCACTGCTTCTCACGTTTGTTTTTCTTTTTACTTACCTATAGATATATTCCCAAGAAAAATTGTTGACGAAAGCAACTACTCTTGCAAAATTCATATACGGCATGCATATGTTTGCACAAGTTTTGCCTCATGGGATTAAATCCCATCGAATTTAATTCCTTGTCATGAATTTGAGCAGGGCACATACTCTTTGTCATGTCCGTTTGCCGTTCTTGCATTGTTCTCAGTGTTCTGTCACACTTTGCGTTTAGCTTACTTTCAATATTTAAGATATTTTTATGAATCTTCATATGCCGATACATATTGGTAAGAGCTCAAGAATTCACAACCAAGCTCTATGTTAAACATGATAATTACTTTTCTATCGGCAACTTCCCTTACTTATGCAGCAATATATCTTCATCACCTCCATACGGAGTTTATATATCTCAGTTGATTCGATACGCAAGAGCATGCTCTACGTAAAAACAACTTCTAAAACAAGGTAAATTATTGACATACAAGTTGATAAACAAGAATATCAACAGTCCTTTTTAAAATTATCATTTATATAAGTTCTATGGTTGATACAATGACCTTGTCAGCAAAGACAATTTATCATTTAGTCTTATGCTTACTGACGTTTTATTATACTAATTGTTAGTCCATTATTTATACATTAAATTGACAACGGATTTTTCCGAGCACATGGCGGGTGTGACCGGTCAGCAGGGGATGCTCACTCCTCCATGTCACCTGATCCCACCTTTGATGTTTTGGAGGTCTGTGATTACTCTGCTTCTATTTTGTATTGTTTTATGGATTTTTTGGTCTTGAATACTGTTTCTTATCTCCATATGTTTCATTCAACTACATCAACATTTGATCTTTACCTCATTTTTCTCAAACTGGTGTTTTGCTAAGTTTCAAAGAAACTGTGCAAAATATTTATATCAAACCTTAAATGGCGATACATATGGGTGATTGCTTAATGTATTTAACAGATGCAATATTTTTACCTTGACCTTTCCTTTAACCTTGACCTAAGTTTTCCGCTCAGTTTCAAAGAAAATATGCAAGATATTATTTCAAACTATATAAGCGGATACATATTAGTGAGGGTTATTTTACTGGGTTTTTTTTTCTTTGACATTCCCTTTGACCTTGACTTAACTTAACTTTTCACAAATCTATGTTTGAGCTCAGTTTTCAAGAAACAAATCAAGATATTTTTTATTAATACTCATAATTAAGCTGATGCATTGTGGTGAATTCAACTGCATTGAAATATTTGACTTTGATCTTTAACATTTGTCTTGGCTTCACTTTTCTTAAATTTGTGCTGAAATCAGCTTCAAAGAAACTATTCGAGAAATTGTTATCTAAACAAAAATGCTAAATATATATTGTTATCTAAACAAACATACTAAATATATGTTGTGGTGAGAACTATTCAGCTTTGACCAAAATGAATGATCATGATTTTACTTTTCTTTATTTTTGCCATAAATCAAATTTCCGAATCATTCATACCAATTTTTATGCTGTCTTACCATTGTACCCTTCGCGGGGAAGTCATGCCCTATGGACATATTTATATAACAGTGCATTTCTTATGAGCGATATGAGTCAAAGGATAATCTCATTAATTTAATTTTTGACATTTCTGGGAATAAATTGTTTTTCATAATGTGTTATAAAAAAGTTTCGAAGAAATTAAAAATAAATAGACCTCAGTTGTTTGGTAATGTAGTGCAGACATAAGAAATCGCTGTTGTGTTTACTTAAAATTTCTCTTTAAAACCTGTCGTAGTTTTGCACAAGAGAACGAGACGTTTTGCTTCAGCTAACATCATGTAAAGGCAAAAAATATTACTAATTTACTTGAGATTTTTTTTCTTTTTTGGCTTATTTAAAAAACTCATGTCTTACCGTCTGCATGTGCCCGATGTCAAATCCTCGAGTGTGGGGTGCATTTAAAATCCATCTGACAAATGTGAAATGTTGGGTTTGTATGTGTTTTCTACAATTATGCCCCGAAATTAAGCGACCTTGATACGTTTAGAATGTCGGGGGTGAGCGCGTCTGCTAAAAAAAAGCAACGTGGTATTTATGGAGTGGATCCACTGAGCGTGGCTTTATATTCAGATAAAGTTTTCATTTATTTATACTTCAAATACTATTGTTCTAAAATTCTAGGAAGCAAATGCTCTAAACAGTGCTTCTTGGACTCGGAGAAAAATATAACATATAAAAGTATGTATATACAGTGAGGATTTTTACATTTTCAACTGGTGGTACTTGTGGGACTTATTTTCACAGGAAAAGTTATTTTCAAGACAATGGATTATCATTGTCGTTTACTAAAATCGGGAAATTATAATAGAAAATAATGAATTTATTTACTTATTCTTAGTTTACTATAATAAATAAGATTAAATAAAATATTTTAATTTACTAAATTTTGTGTAACTGCAAGTAACCATTTTGTAAGCACAGATCACTCTATCTGCATAACTTCAAGCAGAATTCTTTCATGTGCAAATTTAGAGCTTAATTAATACCTTCAAGTTTCTCTTTCGGAGTTGAGTATTATTATCCGATTGTGATTCAGCGATATTCCATTGTCGAGTTTCGAAGTAGTGTAAATGCTTGATGAAAATTTCGAGATGATGCTAATTAACTCTCATTCCCAATCATTCCTTTCATATTACTTTTCAGATTCATTGATTTGAAATCTTTCAGTCGTGTATGTTAATTTTATGGTTTCAGGCTTATATTCAGTCCCGCTATTAGAATCTTATCACTGTCAGAATATTTCAATGTTTTAATCAAACTTAAAAGGTTGAAGAAAGATAACGTATCATGCACAGGGACAAATTTGATTTATAAATAATTAACTTTTGTGACAAATATTTTTAATGCCTTTGCAAAAAAATGTGCATATGTTAGCACAATTCTAAAAGTAAGTTTCATTGGGTCTTTATCAAAATTATCTTCGCTAGCCAAGGGTTTCCGATTCGAAATCTACTCTACAACTTCGGATCGGAAACCCTTGGCTAGCGAAGATATATCAAAATGTACGAGTATATTTTTTTAATAGTATACAGGAGTGAAATCCTTCCATCACTTAATGGAGTTAACTGCATGAAATCTGAATCATATATGTAAATACATGTATATTCTTTATTATGAATTTTCAAGATTTATTTCGCTTAGTTTATTCATATTACACCTGTATTTCCCGTTATAAGGAATGTGCTTTACAGATGAATGCACTGTATAATGCAATAAATCAGGAAGAATACCTGTAATCAACTGTGAATTCAAAAGCCGACCAAAATATTTTGCTGGTAAATAAACTCATAAAACATGAACAAAATTAAAAAGCTGTAATATAGAACAAATGTCCATGTACAGGTAAAGGAAGGCAGAACAGCAGAGGACCCAGAATATTACAGGTGTAAAAACAGAAGTAGGTCAGTCAAGTTACTTCTCTCTCCTGTGTATATGTTATGTTTTGTTTTTATGATCCCGAATAATTCTAATTTGTTTTATAATTCATTTGTGGTTTTTAATTTATGACTTCACGTCGTTAATTGTAATTCAACAATCAACAATACTCGGTATTTTATTACCTACCCTTTACAACAAGAAGGTCTCTAAACTTTTCTACATCTCTGCAAATGACATACATAAGTGAAACAAATATACATATATTTTGTTCAGACCCAAGACATTGTAGCAAAGTAGATGTAACCATTTCGTAGGAAGGTGGAACCTTCAGTCAGTTGTTTCAAGAATGCGGATTCCAGCACAACCAAACACTTCAGATTTACAATCTTTACAATCGACAGGCGCGGATCCAAGAATTGAAGTTAGAGGGGGCGCCAAAAGTAGGCAAGGGGTATGGGGACAGCCTTTAGGCCCCCAGTGGGTCCAGGGCAAAGCCCTGGATGGGGCCCAGGGGGTGAAGCCCCCGGAAGCTCCTGGGTTCTAGAGATTTTGTAGGGTAAAAATGAGGTCTACGTACTAGTACCATGCAAGTACACATATTTACATTTTCTAGACGAAACTGTGATTTACGTTAACTTTGACAATTTTAGGGGGGCGCGCGCCGGGTGCGCCCCCCCTTAAATCCGCCACTGATCGAACACAGACTCGCCTCACATGACCTAAAATACTCTTACCATGCTTACTGCAGGGTTTTTTAGGTTCCGGAAAATCTTAAAATAGAAGTGAAAGTGGGAACATCCGATAAACACTGATGTGACAGTAAGCATGTTCTGTCGCTAGTGCACGTGATTTGTAAGTTTCTACTACTGTGTTTCCGTACGGTTGGTAAGATCTTATTGTGCTAGCTGACATTATACTTGTAATTTAGTTATTCAGGTAAGAATTGTTTGACTCACGACGTTCACTATGTTGGTAAGACTGCACAGACGTGAAGCATTCATTATCATTTCAAAAGAGAAAACGAAATTGAATCATTAGTTTATGTGTGTGCCATTAGAATTATGCTTTTGGATTGGACGGAGATGTATCTCTGTTTAAAATTCTTTGATTGAAATTAGGTTTTTCGGAGTGTTTTACTACACTCGTATAAACACTACACTCGTATATTTTTTATTTTATTCACTGATCTATGAAAAACCCAAACCGTTTATCGATCTCGACAGCCAGAGTAGAAAGTCTTTTGTCGGAATAAATGGAAATTAGAATATTGTTTTTGAAAGGGGGAGGAAAGAAAGTTCAACTTGCCTGGAAAAAAAAAACCTGAGAAAAAAACGAACAAAAAAGAAAACAAAAAAAAAGAAACTTGTCCAAACTCGAAAATCCTTTTTCGTTTTGTGTGTGTTTGTGTGGGTGTAGGGTTATGATCAAACTTAATTACATTATGTACGCTTAATTTATTAGGACTAACTGCTACAAAAACTGGGGGAACGGGAGAACCCTCCGTTCTCCCGTTCCCCCAGTTTTTGTCTAATCGGCCCTTCAATGAACATTTTCAATAAATAAAAAATGTTTAGGAAAAAATGGGTGTGCAACTGTGCACTCCCCCTCATTTTATTAAAAATTGTCCGCTTGCTTTCTTGTTCAATTCCTGTATTTTTTGTAGATTATGGAGTACCAGTTTAATCCCTCACGTCAATATCAGGGCCTGGCTCTGGTTATAACAAATTTCACCAAGCCTGGACGTGGCCCTCTATTAGAAAGGGGAGGAGCTAAGCTTGATGTGAAATATATGAAAAAGACCTTCAAACGTTTAGGATTTCAAGTAGTCTCTTACGAAAATGTATATACTTCAGATTTTGAGTTGATTTTAAGTGAAAGTAAGTAGATGTGAAAAAAAGCTACATGTGCCTGATATATTTGTAAAAAGTAGAATTGAACTCTGCTGTTAGATTTACTTTATAACTGTTCATTCATCTGAACATCAATATAAGGTTTACATCAATATTTTTTTTAGAAACATCACATTTCCTATTTCTTCAAAGTCTAACTCTTGTAGCTTAAGAATTATAACCAAAGTTAAACTTTGCTACAGGGGTAAAGATATTGTAAATGACTGATGTGATATGTTTCATAGAATCTATTCTAGGTCTTTAAGTTTATTATGTCATGACTAGAAATATGGTAGTGATGCTATGAATCTGATTTTGTTATGGACACAAGCGAAGTTTTTTATATTTCTAGTCTCAGAAGATCCAGCCCTGAAGGATTTTGACTGTTTTGTCTTTGCTATAAGTACCCATGGCCTTGAACTTGAAGAGACTGACAAAGTGAGAGGATTCACGGTCCGAGATCACGCCGTCCAGATGTTTGACGGGGAGTACTACAGTACCAGTCAGATACTAGAGTGCTTCAGCTACCAAAAGTGTAAAGCACTGAGGGGCAAACCTAAGATGTTCTTTATTCAGGTGAGATCACTCTTTTCTTTCAGAATTTTTTTGTCAAATATACTGAGTTATTGATATTTTGCTGAATTGAACTAATGACATCGATTAACCCTTGTTTGATAACTTATTTGTAAGTAGCCAGTCTCATTTTAGACAGTGTTTGTAAATTATCTTGCTCTTTCAAATCAACCCTATATACAGGTGTATTATATATTATATTAAAATAAAAGTATATTACATAACTAAGGAAATCAATGATAGAATAGTTGAAGTCATTACATTCACCATAAAGTTTGTATTATTTGCTTTGCTTATTTACAACATGGTCATATTCCATCAAAAAACATATCAATTTGCTATAAACCAGGCTGTTAAATAAATGAACAGCAGACAAGAGGGTTTATTTTTTACTTTATTTTCTATTAACAGGCGTGTAGAATTCCAGAGACTGAGGCATCAAGGGAACAGAGACTTGCAGGAATTGGGTTTGATCATGGAGCCAGTCCCCCTAAACACAGTAGAGGGAAGACAGGGTCTGGTGGCGATAAAACCGATCATCAAGGATCAGAAGATATACCATCAAAAGGTTGCCTAAATGGTCATTTTCTGCATTTATCAAAAGTTTTATTTATGAAATATTGAATGATAGAACTTCACTTTTGTTTATACCTTTTCTACTCTCAATATAATTAAATTAGATTTTTCATCAGCTACAAAAAGTACTTAAAAGTACAGTTATATATATTTTAAAATTCTTTTGTCTTTTGCAAGTAAATTAAGATAATTTTAACAACTATTTTGCAAGTAGATTTAGATAAATTTAACAACTTTTATACAAGTAGATTCAGTTACCTGTTTACAATTATCTAACAAGTAAATGAAGATAATTTTTATAACTCATTTACAAGTTGATTTAGATACTTTGTACATATATTCTAAAAGTCGAGTTAGAAATTAGTACTTTGAACATTTATGTTACAATTTGAGTTAGATACTTTTTATATTTATCTTACAAGTGAAGTGAAATACTTTTTACAAGTCGAGTTAGATAATTTTTATATTTATCTTACAAGTCTAGTCAGATAATTTTTACATTTGTCTTACAAGTCAAGTTAGATAATTTTTTACATTTATCTTACAAGTCGAGTTAGATAATTTTTACATTTATCTAACAAGTCGAGTTAGATAATTTTTACATTTACGATGGTTGTCCAAAAAGTTCGTGGACAGTGACGTTTTTGTTAAAATAAATGGTTCTATATAAATCTATTGTATATCAAAATATTTCTTATGAAAAAACAAGTCAGAATGATTTAATTTTTATTGATGGGACTTAAGATTTTTGTAGAAATCGTGGTCTTTAATGATCAAAGATAGTGCGCATGGACCAAGGTTAAAATGCCATAAAGTCTGATAAAAAGTGTTCAGATTAAAATGATTATTTTCTATATAAAACATGTCAAAACTTGATAAAAATCATAAGTAACACAAATAAAGAGGCTATAATCATTTTCTGATATCATCAGAATCGCTTACTATATAGACAGTGAAATTACTAAACATAAACCCTAACAAATATGTGTCAAAACTTGTCAGAAAAAGCAACGTCGGCCGTCCGCACGGACCAATGTCCAACCATAAAATAAGTTTTGATACAGTTTGAACGACGTAAAAGACAAAACAATTTGTTTAAACATCTCAAAATTATTGACATATATTTAGTTTCGATTTGAGATTGGTTTTGTTCAATTTTTCAACGGTGTGTACAAATTTGAAGACACTACTACATTGAAAATGGAGATTTCTATTCATGATGTTGTTATAAATCTAGCGCAGCGTCAGACTGGTCTGTGCAGTTTGTGTATGCAAACAGTTAATATTGATGACGCTCGTAAATTTTTCTGCATTGTTTTGAATTTTAAAATTTAAATGAATAATAATTTATACTTAAATATTATTGCTAGCACTTGGAAGTGTGGCACCATTAAACAAATTTAGTGTGTGTCCATGAACATGTGTTAAAATTTAAAACCCAAATGTTTGATGTTATAATGAAATTTGCTTAACGTCAGACTGGTCCGTGCGCACTATCTGCGACCTTTAAAGACCCATATTTCTTACAAAATATTATGTTCCATCAATAAAAATTAAATTATTCTGACTTGTTTTTCCCTAAGAAATATTTTGATATACAATAGAATTATATAGAACCATTTATTTTAACAAAAACGTCACTGTCCACGAACTTTTTGGACAACCCTCGTATCTTACAAGTTGAGTTAGATAATTTTTACATTTATCTTACAAGTTGAGTTAGATAATTTTTACATTTATCTTACAAGTTGAGTTAGATACATTTTACATTTATCTTACAAGTTGAGTTAGATACTTTTTACATTAATCTTACAAGTCAAGTTAGATACATTTTACATTTATCTTACAAGTCAAGTTAGATACATTTTACATTTATCTTACAAGTTGAGTTAGATACTTTCTACATTTATCTTACAAGTTGAGTTAGATACTTTTTACATTTATCTTACAAGTTGAGTTAGATACTTTTACATTTATCTTACAAGTTGAGTTAGATACTCTCTATATTTAACTTACAAGTGAAGTTAGATACTTTTAACATTTATCTTACAAGTCAAGCTAGATACGTTTTATATTTATCTTACAAGTTGAGTTAGATACTCTCTATATTTAACTTACAAGTGAAGTTAGATACTTTTTACATTTATCTTACAAGTTGAGTTAGATACATTTTACATTTATCTTACAAGTTGAGTTAGATACTTTTTACATTTATCTTACAAGTCGAGTTAGATAATTTTAACATTTATCTTACAAGTCGAGTTAGATAATTTCTACATTTAGCTTACAAGTTGAGTTAGATACTTTTTACATTTATCTTACAAGTGAAGTTAGATACTTTTTACATTTATCTTACAAGTGGAGTAGGATACTTTTTACATTTATCTTACAAGTTGAGTAAGATACTTTTTACATTATCTTACAAGTGAAGTTAGATACTTTTTACATTTATCTTACAAGTGAAGTTAGATACTTTTTACATTTATCTTACAAGTCGAGTTAGATAATTTCTACATTTAGCTTACAAGTTGAGTTAGATACTTTTTACATTTATCTTACAAGTGAAGTTAGATACTTTTTACATTTATCTTACAAGTTGAGTAAGATACTTTTTACATTATCTTACAAGTGAAGTTAGATACTTTTTACATTTATCTTACAAGTTGAGTAGGATACTTTTTACATTTATCTTACAAGTTGAGTAAGATACTTTTTACATTATCTTACAAGTGAAGTTAGATACTTTTTACATTTATCTTACAAGTGAAGTTAAATACTTTTTACATTTATCTTACAAGTCGAGTTAGATAATTTCTACATTTAGCTTACAAGTTGAGTAAGATACTTTTTACATTTATCTTACAAGTGAAGTTAGATACTTTTTACATTTATCTTACAAGTGGAGTAGGATACTTTTTACATTTATCTTACAAGTTGAGTAAGATACTTTTTACATTATCTTACAAGTGAAGTTAGATACTTTTTACATTTATCTTACAGTAGAGTTGGTTTCTGAGGAGGATGTGTCTGATACTGATATTGAGGAGGGTGAGGATAAACAGGGAAGTTATAGACCCCCTACAGTAACCAGTGTTCAGGTAAACGCCTAAGTCAAACATGTATTTCATTCCAAAATATTTCAATTGGTCATCATAGAAATCCTTTTTATATAAGATTTTTACCATGTTCTGCTTTGAGATATTTACTACTAGTATGTTGTAAGAATAATATGAAATAAATGAGACATAATCAAAATTTTAAAAAAATGAATGTGATTTCAAATAGAAACAGTCAAAAGAGAATAATGGTTCTGGAGTTCAGGAAAATCAATTGGGGTCAGGAGACGTGGTAGATCCGGCACGTGGAATCCGTTTATTTCACGAGAAGAATGTCATAACAAGGGTACCCTGTCACAATGACATGCTGATCATGTTTGCTTCACCACAAGGTTCTTAATTAAGCAAGAATGATCTTAAATTTTCAAGTTTTAAGTCTTCAAAATGATACAATTACAATCCAATGACATGACAAACTATGATAAGACAACCTTTTTCTAATTAACCAGGTCTTTATGCTGTTAGAAACCTTGACATGGGAAGCTACCTACTGAAAAATCTGTACGAGGCTGTCGAACATTTCTATGGAAATGGAAAACTAGAGAATAATAATACCAATTTTCTGGATGTCCTGAGGCATGTTGCTGCACTGATGACAACAAAGACTTACTTCGGTGATAAGGAATATACTAATGTTCCGTGTATTGTACACAAGTTGTCCAAAGATATCGTCTTCACTCAGGGAAAGACCATGGCCCACACTAAATTCATGGAATTATGAATTAAAGGACTGTTTATAACATTACATAAAATGTTACTTGCTACAAATTCTTGGACAGCTTTAATAAGTTGACATTTATTTTAAAAATGCATAAGAATTACTTTTTTCATTCATTTGCAGGAAGAAATGAATTAACAATGATGAGCTGCTCTTTTGTAACATTTGTGCAGCTGATTCGATCCATTTCTGAAATATCTCTGCTCAAACTACAAGGTGATATAATGCTGAACAGATATTATAGAATCTCTATTAGCTTTAAAACGAAGTTCAAAGGCTTGTCAGTGTTACATGGTGAAACAAAAGGTGTTATAATGCTTAAGAATACAACTTTTGAAAAGCGTTAGGTTGTGAATTTAATAAATATTTTTAATTTTACTGTAAATACCTTTCCATAAAACATATGGACATAACGAACGGTAATAGTACATGTACTCACGATCGAAAATCCATAAAACAATATTAAAAAAAGGAGCAAAGCAAATACGAACCTCCAAAACATCAGAGATGGGATCAGGTGTCATTGTGGAGTGAGCATCCCCTGCCGATTGGTCACACCCGCCGTCTGCTCCTTGTCATGATCGGGAAATAACACAAAATCCGTTGTCAATTCAGTGTATAAATAATTGAATAATAACAATTAGTATAAAAAAAAAAAACGTCAGTCAGCATTATATTCGATGATAAATTGTACTTACTTTTTGTTATATAATGCCACTTTTTAGCTCACCTAGGCTGAAAGCTCAACTGTAGTCTGGCGTCTAGCTGTCCTTTCGTCTGCAAACTTTTCACATTTTCAACGTTAACTTCTTCGTACGATCCACTGATTTAATTTTAACCAAATTTGGTAAAAATTAAGCACCCGTGAATGAAGGAGGTTATAATTTTTGTGGAAACTTAAATTCAGAGGTAGTATAAATTCTAATCTTTTTCAATACATGGCTCCCAGAGCTAGGTTGGTGCTCTGGGAGGAAATCGAAGTTTTATATTGAAAATATAAAGAAAAAAATCTTGTTCTCCAAGAACTATTTGACGAGAAAAGCTGAAACTTACGTCATGCACGGAGCTACCAAAGGTAATGTAGATATTAATTGTTTAAAATTATAACCCGCCCACCCCAAAAACGGTAGGTTTAAGGATTGGGGCAAATACAGGTGAATACATGTATGTTGGGCAAATACAACAATACAGTATGTTGGGCAAAAATAATCTGATGCTGAACAGCAGGGCCAAGTGACTTGGTTGAGCGTTGTGGTTTTCTTTTCCCTGTTTCCATGGATACAATTAAAATTATACAATATTTCTTTTTTAGAAACCATTCTGTACAAACGAAAGGAATAAGCGTTTATTACTTCAAAAGAATTGGTTGGACATTTTAATACTAAGAAAATTGAGATTAATAAGTTTTCATTTGATTCATTTTGTAACAGTGTGTGCTTCCTTTCCCTTAAACATATAAGAAAAACCATGATATTAAAATAGTGGGAGGGAAATTGCATGGTTTTAAGGGAAATTGCATTCAACAAATATTATGCAGAGTAACATCCCCCGCCCCGCCCCCGATAACTGAATCTGGAATGAAATGCCCGGTTAGGGGGAATCCTAGATAGGGGTCATCTTTACATGTTTACGTGGAGAAAATCCTACTCTAGTAAAAAGCATCAGTTTTCCGAGCGAAATATTTGAGAGGGGAAACGTACATATACTCTACAAATTAGTGTGGAGTTCAGGAAAGATTTCAGTATTGCAGTTTAAATATATATAAATCTGTGGACGGTTTATTTTTCTTCCGTAACCGAAACAGGTACCTATAGAGTTTCAGGGGCGGATCCAGCAATATTTGAAAGGGGGGTTCCAGGGTTGCATGCCTCTAGCCCCCCCCCCCCCCCACACACACACACACACACACATACGTGTGTGGACTTCGATCTGGGGACCCTGCCAAAAAATCTTAAAATGGGGACTAAGCGATTTCGTGGCAGAATTGGTATTGTTTAACTTATTTTACCCCGTAAGTATCCTGGAATAAGTAAATAAACTGAGTCTTTGAGCTAGAATGATATATTCATAAATTTAGAAAATGGGGACCCGGAAGTGCCAATATGGGGACCTCTGTGTAAAGGTAGGGGACCCAACTTCTCATAAGCTTACAGAATTGGGGACCTTTACTCAGTCCCTCATACACAAGGAACAGAAATGGGGACATATTCATAAATTTAAGTTTGGAAGATGGTTGGACATGTTTATTTATTTATTTATTCCGGCGCGGATTCAGGGATTTCTCAATGTGGGAAAGGGTTATCCTTAGTCCAAAAATTTCCAATCCAGAAATTCCTTAATAAGCAATAACAAATGAAAATAAAAAAGAAAAAAAAACATGTTATATCATTTCCCAAACGTTTATAAATAATCTATTTCTATGCGCTGTTGGTGGGGTTTACGTTTTTTTAAAGGAATGAGGTGGATGTGTTCAAAAGACATTTTTTTGCTTCACTATATATACATAAGGAAAACGGCTTCTTAAATTTACCCTTTACATTTTATTACGGCTCCACAGCACCACTATTATGTTATACCTGCCAACATCCCTTCTCCCCCGTTTACGCAAAATAACGGATTTAGTCCAGGAATCAGTTTTATAAATTATAGCAAAATCTCCCTGACTATGCATGTATGACCATGGAATTATTTTATTATATGTATATAAAAAAAATCTCAGTGACTCGATAAACCATTTATAGCGAAGCCCTGTAAGCACATGGATTTCCAGGTTTTTACATCAGAAAATTAACTCGAAATATTTTTTTTTATCTTTATACAATCGTAGTTCTACTAAATATTAACAAAAAAAATGCTGAGTTTTGACAAAACTTACAACTCCACTAAATCCTCTTTTAACAAAGCATTTCTTGTTTTCATGAATTAAGACAATACATACATCATTGTCAACAGTGGAATTCTTGCAATATATTTCGTCCATTGAATATAAGTGATATTTTTTTTCACATGCAGTGTGAAAATAATAATAAGAAATGCAAAGTACTTAGGCTAGTATTACATGAAAGAACGTGTTTGCTTTAATGTGATCAATTTTAAATGATATTCCTCATATCAAACATTCAAAATTACATAATATGTGTAAAGTTGGCTTATTTTTCAAATATCGGATGTTTTCCTTATTGTAGCAGCTTTATATAAGTATATTCTTCACACATTATTTGACAGACTTTGCCTCAAAATAGACAAATAATACAACACTTAAGCTGTAAGCTTAAAGATATGTGTGCCGTGTTAAGCAGTATTTTTGCACAGCTGAAACCGAACAAAAATTTCTGAATTATGATAAGCTATCAAAAATTGAAGCATTCTTGAAAATTCGACGAAATATTATTCGGTATTAAAAAAGTACTGGTCCGGAAAAGAACACGATATTCTCATGCATATTTATAAAGGACTGACCGTTTATCCTGGATCTGCGCGTGTGCGCGGAAAAGCATCGCGAGAAAAATCAGGTCGAGGAAAATATTTTTGTGACGTCTGATCAGTGAGGAACCAATATGACTGACAAATATACCAATCAGCTCAATGAGTTGCATTTAATGCATTTATGGGTTACTACATAAAATTCTACATGTGTTTTTCGAAAAGGCTAGTTTTTTAAAATCGCTCTCGGAAAGACTTGATGCATTTTCCCAAGCATTTACATGCTTAATACATTATGTACATTTATTATCTACTAATCCCATGTTCATATTTGCCTACAAATGATTAACAATGATAAAGATTAAAGTTTTCCCCACTCCATTTGTACAGGTCCGTTTGTTTCGAGTTTCACCGTGCTGTACTGCTAGTGAAAAGACAATTGCACGTGATTATTCCTCGGTACAAAAAGCAACCAACTCTGAGGTGTGCTCACGTATTAACAATCCCTAACTCACGTGTTTGTAGTAAAAACGTAGTAGACCATTATGCTTTTCGGTTCATTCACGAGATTGGACCATTGTTTGCTGTGAGCATGCGAAACCACGTGATCATGAATATTTCAATAAGAGGCGGTTTATTATCCGTCTCGGAGAGAAAATAATTTTTACCTAATAATATTTCATAACTTTTAAAAGTGATGGAGTGGAATAGTCTTATTTGCAGAAAGTATATAACTTTTACCGTTACGACTTGATGAGACACCACCTATACATTTATTTCTTTTAAAATAAAACACTAATACGGCATATATCTCTTTAACTAACAATCCATAACAAACAGTCATACACTAATGTGTATGTGATCAATGAAGAACTGCAATGGTTACATTATGTAACTATAAGTTACATGCTATGCATTGTACCCCTATTAAAGACATTAAAAACCGCCCAGAAAAAAAAACATAGACGAGTAACTATGGAAAACATGTGCACGTCGCTATGTATAAATAATGCCTCAAGGGAGAATGCCGAACATGCATTCGGAGCAGTACATGGTATGCAGAAACACCATATATGTACATGTATAATAAAGCAAAATCAAATAATATGACAATATTGTTGTAATATTATTTATAGAAACGTATTCATTTGAATATAAATATAAAAAACACGTGTGTGTTCTGCGGAGCACTGGCTTGGAATGATCCAACACCTCACAAAATAACGCCTTCTCATTGGTCTTCCTTTGGCCACGCCTACCATAAACAGGCATTTCCAATAAAATACGTTTCTATCATACAATGCTTTCCCGCTATTCTACGAAACGCGGGAAAACTCTATCATACTATCGCAAAATGGCGTTGAAAAGTTCAATATAAATAGGGACCTGGGGCCCGTTTCACAAAGCCTACTTAGGACTAAGTTCTATCTTAGGAAAGAACTTTTTCCTAAGTTCATTACTTATCCGTTTCACTAACCTCGTCTTATCTTAGGATATTCCTAAGTTATGTCGTAACTTTAGGACAGGTATATCGTTGACTTAGGAAGAAACTAAAAATTGCGGCTGCATATCCAAGATTTCTTATGGGGGAGAGAATGTGTTTGGGGAGAGAAAATCCGATGAACTACTAGTATATGGACGATTGTGTTCTCTCCAGGTTAAAACTGCTTTACTTTGCATGGAATTACACAGTACTAGGCTTTCAATAACTGGCAAACATATGCATGTGTCAAAATTAGTCCAAGGTATATAAAATGTCCGTGCACAAAACTGGAGCTGGCGAAATAGATGTACTCATGCTGGAATAATTCCCCATCATTTGTGGAGCACGCCTTTGTAAAAAAAAAAAAAAGCACGATTTGATCCATTATTATACATGCATGTATACATTACGTTTTTATCTACATGTACGAGGGTTGTCCGTAAAGTTCGTGGACAACATTGATAATTACTGA